AACAAATGCTGACGGGGTTGTGGGGAAAAAGGAACCCTTCTTCATTGTTGGTGGAAGTGCAGACTGGTGCAACCACTATGGAAATCAGTATGGAGATACCTCAAAGAATTAGGCTTAGAGGTCCCATTCCACCCAGCTATCCTCATGCTGGGTATCTTCCCAAAAGAATTAAAAGAATCATACCACTGTGATATATGTGCACCCGTGTTTATAGCGGCACAGTTTGTAATAGCGAAAGCTTGGAAACATCCCAAGTGCCCATCAACTGGAAACTGGATAAAGAAGATGTGGGATGTTTTTTTTTTTATAAAATAGAGTACTATTCAGCCATAAAGAACGAGAAATTATAGAGACATTTATAGCTAACTGGATGCATATTGAGGCCATCCTCTTAAGTGAAATAAATAGGACACATATGTGTAAATACCGAGTAGTTTCTCTAGTGTGAGAAACTGAAAGTTTAATTAAGGATACACAGGGATAAAATGGCTCAAGAACATATTTCTCGGATTTTGTTTCCATCGTATGTCATATGACTGTATTGAAATTTAAATTAGGGAGAAGTTTGGCTCATGTGCGGTCTGTTAACTAACTGGAGTTTTTTTCCAGATCATTATTTGTTCAGTGTTAGCTTTGGGGATCTATCTGAAACAAATCACATCCTCTGGTGTCTTGTTGGTGCTTGAGATTTTTTTTTTAAGTCATATGGAAAAATGTTTAAATGCTTTTCAGTTTTGTTTTGGTTGAGTTCTACTGTATTTGAATATTATTATCGTTTTTTTCCCCTTACATTATTCTTCTTTGAATTTTTTTTTTTTTTTTTGGTACTGGGGATCGAACTCGGGACCTTGCGCTTGCAAGGCAGGCACCAGAACCACTGAGCTAAATCCCCAGCCCTGAATGGTTTTAATTTTTAGTATGTGTGTGTGTTTGATAATAAAGTTATTTAAAAAAAGAAGTAGCTTTAAATTATCTCAAACATTATGACATTTAAGTCTTTCTACAAACTTGATTTTGACGCACAGATTCTTAGTTCTTAACAGGAAACAAAAGTCAGAGATGAAGAAATTAGAATATTCAGAGTATTGTGAGGGTATAAAAATATTAGATTGGTTTATCTTTTAAAAGTTGAATCTAAGATTTTGTTTCTGTTTACATATAATAGTACAGTACACAAAGTAAAACAGTAGGTTCTATGTACCATAACCAAAAAAAGAAATAGTGATGAGTTTCCATTAGGCATTATCGGCAATTTCAAACTAATACACAGGAAAAGGACTCATTCCTTACTATTAGACAATTTAAAAAATTTTTTATGTTGAATATTTGTCATTGCATATAGTTTTAGGATTGTAAGGTTATTGTTATGCATTTGATGCTGGATTATATTACAGTATTTAGAGATTATGTTAAGGTGTTAGAGGTTAAATTTGCTGTTCTTGATTTTTATAAAAAACTTTTTAGTAGAATCTGTTAATCATTTTCTCTTTTTCTTCTTATATAATCAAATGTACCTTGTTACTTTAAGGAAAATTTTAAAAGGAAAATGTATTATTACTTCATGTGAAACCATAATAGGTTTTTTTAAGGGAATCACTAGTGAGATGTTTTAAAGCAAAAATTCTTGTATACTTATTTTTTACTCTTTAATCAGATTTCAGGTATATTTTAACAAGTGGGGGTTTCCCCAATGAATCATTAAAATAAGTGAGTGGGCTGGAAGGCAATACTAACTTATCTCAGCACTGCCCTATTTTACTCTGCTGGGTTATTAGTTGCTTTTTAAATAGAACCTGGGTGTGTTGGAGTCAGTGGGTGGAAGTACAGAAGGGAAGGGGTGGGGAAAAGTCCACTAAAGAAAATACCAGTTAAACCTTTGCTGACCTATTGGGAAAGCCTACTCAAATTTTACTGTCCCTAATTTTAACCATTTAGTGTGTAAGCTTACTAAGTTTTTACTCTGTCAGGTGTAAGTTTCCAAAGATTGTATGTAGATAAATAGAAAATATATTTTCAGCAATTAATTGAAGTTTTAAGACATCAAATTATGTGCAGATTAGCCTGTGAAATCAATTTCTCATATGTGTGGGATTAGAACTATTAAAACCATCATCACTGAAACTATACCTTCCTACAAGTAATAGCAGTAAGGTGTCTATGGAATATTTTAGTACAACAGTTCCTCTGATTTACAATTATTAATGAGTGTTTGTTTGGAAAATTATTTGAATAACCTAGGCACCTGGCTTGACAACATATATGAGGACTCATGGGTTTCTAATGTGACTTAGATTTATTATTTTTAAATTAACATGATTTATTTATACTTAGCCCATTGTTGTTGTTGTTGTTGTTGTTGTTTTTTCAGCACACCAATGACATTTTGCAAATTTCCTGCATCCATGCTGTTAAATTCTTTTTTTTCTTCTAATTTCTTTTTTCCTGTAGCATTTGTGACTGCTACAGGAAGTAGACAAAAATGTAGTTCACCTTGAAAATGATCTGGCACAGGGAATAAAGAAATTGGGTCAGCTTAAAATAAATTCAGGTACAATGACAAAAAGTTTAATAAAAATTTAAAAATATTCAGAGTGTTGGTTTCAGGCTACTTTTGTTCTCTATCATATCAATGCATTATTAAGTTTTAATTGAGACAGTGCTAGTGGTGCCTTTTCATTTTGGTCAATGTTTATATGAAATATTATTGTGATTTTTTATTTTTTGCTTTTTAGTCCCCTTTAATTGTAAATGTAAATTTTTGGTATGGCAGATAATTCTTAAATAGATCATTTTGTCCTTTGCAAATCTTAAATAGCATTTGACATGGTGTAAAATTCTTCTGTCATAGTTATCACTTTGTTGTCACTGGGGAATAATGTGTGCTGAAGAAGTGAGTTTTTCTTTAACTGAAGCTTACTTGTTTAACCAGAAAAATTTAAAAGTTGGGAAAAATTTATCTGGAATATTTTGTATGCTCTTTTAAATGAGCAAGATGGAGTGGGCATGTAGTTTCTTAATGTCACAAAATATTTTGAATATTATACAGAAAGACCATGTGCTTGTTTGCTGATTGGTATTTGTTCTCTTTTTTGTTTGTTTTAAAATGTCACACACCCCTATTTTGGTAAACTTAGTCTTAAAAGTTTCAGGGTTTAAGGTTTGTGGTAGCACATATGACCATGTTTTAACAGATTCATAAACTCAGATACCTATGTAAGACATTTTACTCTGTAGTCTCACTGTCATCTTTTGGTGGATACCCGGCCCTGGCCTGCTACCATTAATGACTCCTTCATTTGAAGGAGTCAGTGTGGAGGTCCTGTTACTACTGATTCCAAATATTTTCTTACAGGCCATTGCTTGTGGTCCAAAAGTGGTTTCATTCACCTTGTGTGCTCGTGAACCTCTGTGGTATCAGGCTTCCCACCTGACGTTTTCTCCAATTATTCTAAAATGACAAATTGTATAATCCCTTTACATTTTAGTAAATTTTACTGTATAGGCAAAATGCCTTTTTCCCCACCTCATGCCTGTTTGTTTTAAGAAGTGATTTCTAAAGCAGAACTCAAGCATAGTGAAAGTATTTGAACTGTACTTTAATGTACCATAATGACATTTGGTTTGAATCTTATATTTAGAAATCAGCTTTCCCTATTTTACTTGCATCTAATGGGAATTATCTTTGTTCCAGGTCATACTTCAAGAAGACAACAGGAAAGAACACATTTTCTTCTTGCCACAGAAGTTGCAATAGAAGTAAGTAGGGGGAACTGCTAGGATATGTCTGTCTCCACAAAACAAGTAGAACAAATTTCCATGAATCAAAGCCACTAAGTATAGTTTTCAGAGATGGTAGGACATAGTTACTCTCCCTAGGAAAATACCTCAAATGGTGACACACCCTTTGGACACTAGAAAAATGCTCAAGTGTATGCTAGTTCAAACCTGTATGTTTCACTCTTCATACTGAGCTATTAAAGGGGTGGAAATCTCCCATAGCTATAATCTTTTTTTTTTCCTCTTTTCTATTTTTCAACCTCCCACATGCTTGGTCTTCAGTTCTGTTTACTGAGAGTCTTGAGTCTACAGCAACACTTACACATACTGCATACACAGTGGCTGATGGTTTGGTGATTACTTGTGATTCAGACCCCTAAGAAACATCTATAAAATAAACATATTACATGATGCATACTTGAGATAAGTCACGGAAACAGCAGAATGATGGAGAATCAGAAAGTATTTTTTTTACTATTGATTTGAGATAATATGAGTAAAATATTCTTTAGAGAGGCTTATATCACATTCTATCACTTGGGGAAATATCTCAAGTCATTTTTACAAAGCCATTTAGCAACCTTTTAAGGATAAATGGCATGTACACCTTAGTGTGATTAGTTCAGAAGAAATAAAGATAGATAGCAGATAGCTATGATGTGATCAAGTAAAGCAAATTAATATTAAAACTGCTTTTCATCTGTCTTTCTTGAAATGTTTGATACAATTTTCAAAATTTCCTTTTGCTGGTCTCTCAGTTACTTTCTAGAAATTTCTTATCACTTGATAGATTAATGGCTACCACCTTGTTGAAGTCGGAGTGTGTTTGAGAACTCACTGAACACTGTATTATTAAAGCAAAAGTCTCCAGCAGGCCTGAAAAAATTGAGCTCTGCATAGCTCATCCTCTGAGCTTACCTCTTACCCACAAAACCTGCAGGGCTCTCAAATTCCTATTTGAAATGCAAGCTGCAGATGAGAAATGGGTAATATCCACTGCATTTTCAATGAATGTGTGTGTCCACCTTTCTCAGCTATACCTCCTGGATGGGGGCCACAACTGAAAATTACTAAATTTAAAATGCTGAAGATTCAGAGATAGCCTTTGTCCTTAGGTAGAGTGATTTATGCTACAGATAACTGGCTAAATACTTTGATTCTGTTTGCAAGCATTCATTATCTAATTTTATCCCCACAATAAACCTCTGAGGTTAGTATTGTTATCTGCATTTTAGTGAAGATGAAACTGAGTCCTAAGTCATACAACTAGAAAGTGATAGAGCTGCTGGGTTTAGTGGCCTAGAATCCCAGCACTCTGGGAAGCTGAGGCAGAAGGTTGCAGCCTGGGCAAATTGGTGATTGGGAAACTCTGTCTCAAAATTAAAAAGGGCTGGAGATGTAGCTCAGTGCAAAGACCTTCACTTCAATCCCTGATGGTGCATAAAAATGAAAACAGAAAAAAAAAAAGAAAAAGAGGAAGGGATGAAGGAAGGAAGGAGACAGAGCTGAGGTGTAACTTGTACTTCTCTTCATTTATATATATATGAGTGAAACACACACACACACACACACACACACACACACACACAGCTCCCCAACAAATACTCATTGGAAGAATCACACATCAAGAAGAAAGCCTTTTGTCAGATCAGCCTTTTATTTAAGAACCACTTGAGACTTTTTGCTTTGAAATACAATTTAAGTAGGCATTACTTTGAGCAAGGTGAAATACAGTTTTATTAATGAAGCACATTATTGAGTCAGTGAAACTAATAATTTCATGAAACAGTATTATTTTAAAAAGCAGTATGCTATTTAATGAGTGATATTTTACTTCACTCATAAAAGAAAGTTCAAACATCTGGAATATTTCTTAAGCAATATAGCATTCATACATAGAATGATGTTTCTCCCCTATGTCTTAAGGAAATACCATATCCTTTGAAATGTATATGAAAGTTTTTACATTAAAACATATATTTTTATTTCACTGAGCACATGAAGAAAAATCATATTACTAAAATGAAAAATTGATAGCCAATTCTCAATGATAAAATTTTACCAACTCTTTAAGAACCCCATTATTATAACTTTATTCCTCTTAATGGGGTTCCTATATAAAGTTGTAGAAATCCTCGTGGCTCACGGAGACATAGTTTTACTCCACGTTTTTAGTGTTCATTTGGGGATGGGATATTGATAAACACTGTAGCAGGGAAGTAATCAAGATATGTGTAGTGTCTCAAGAAATTGTATCAAAGTTTTTAATGCTAGAAAATTGAGATTTTGATAGGAATGTGCTTTCTTTTATATACAGACTCATTAGGAGCAGTGAGAGCTGATAAATTTATAGATGAATTAATATGAGAGCTACAGAATCAGAGAACTTCAAAACTTAAAAGGTCTTTACAAAAGAAGGGCTCTTGAAGTGGAAGTCTTCATCAGGAGATGAGTTTAGTTATTGTCCAAGACAGGAACTGTAGGTCAAACAGGCATTGAGGTTACTGAATCAGACTGATAGCCAAACCAATCAGGAAGTGAATGATCACAGCAAGAGAGGGTTTTGAGCTTCTTGGGGTAGAAGATAAAACTAAGAATCCTAGTGGAAGTAATCTTAGGGCATGAGGAAAACACATCAGAAAAATAGACACATTAATCTCTTACTAATATATGAGAATTTTGATTACAAAAATGTAAGATTTAAGGGTTAAAGCTTTTTAAAGGGAGGAATAAATATTTTTAAAAAATCATGTGACTAAACCATATGTATTTTTTTAGTGTAAAATTTAACCTTATTTTTATTTAAATTTCATGTATACATCTAGATCTGAAAAAAATATACATGACTTTGGTTGCATCTGAAGGTTTAAATGCACCAATGAGTATTCTTATCATTGAGGCATTCTATGGAGGCTCCCATAAACAGCTGGTAGATCTGCTCCAAGAAGAGTTACAAGACTGTGTCCTTTATACTCTTCCTGCAAAAAAATGGCACTGGAGAGCCCGGACAGCGGCTTTGTATTTCTCTCAGAATGTTCCCATCAGTGAGGATTACAGGTAAGCAGAACCCAGGATGCACTTTCAGCTTGTTTGTTAATGTACCTGTTTTCAGGATGTTGCTTCTCTGTCATCATCTTTGAAAACTTCGCAAACTGTGGAATTAATTTTTTAAAATTTTATTTTATTGGTGCATTTTAGGTGTACAATATAATGACATTCATCATTGGAAATTTGCACCTTTACGTAATGTCTCTTGGTTCTTATTTTTCCCCTTTCCCTGCCCTCCCTTCAACCCCTCCATCCCTCCCAGTTTACAAAGACTTTGTTTCCATTTTTTCATTTTCTCATATTAATTC